AAATGACTCTGTGTTACTGAGTACATGATGCTCATTTAGGCAAAAGCATGTTTGGTGGTAATGTTATATCCTGGTATTCTTAATACTATTATTAGCAATTTCTGTTGGGTGATCTATCAATGCAGAGGTCCTGCATCAGAGGGATCTTTCAGGACCACGGAACAAAGACTGATGCTGCCTCCTAAACAAATTTGTATGTTGCTTTCAAATAATAAGTTGTTTAGGAGGAGGAAGAGAGCAGCATTTTTTACTTGCATATAATTTTCAACTTTTTTGGATTTTCTCCTATTTTAAGGTCACTGCCTTTATGTTGTAAGACAATAGTTTTTTTTCCAGATACTTCCTGGTTCTAGATTCCTTTTGAACTACCCTCCTGAATGACACTTAATGTACCATTCTCCCACTCTTATCTTCACACTTTCTTATATGCTGTTCCTTATGCTTAAAAATCCTTATTCTCCATGCCAAATATCCACCCACTCCACACATTCACGTTCTTCCTTTAAACTGCATTTCCTTAAAGTCTATCAAAAATAATCTGCAAGTTAAGAAACATATCAACTCTGCCTTGAGATCTGACAGTCTTCTGATCATCAGACTTGCTACTGCAGGCTGAGTTCTTTAACTTGTGCACAATATTGAATAAATCAGGGCCTAATTTTTTCTTAATATCACATGTACTATCTTTTTCACCGAATATATATATATTTTAAAGTACCCCAAAGTTCAGCCCAGCTGCTTTCCTAGAGGCCATCTGGCTAGGCTCTGCTGCTTGTTTTCTTGTTCTTGTGATTCTAGCTGAAAGCCCACTGACAGAAAAAAAATGAGGTCAGTAAGAAGTAGGATGAGGTAAAATTTTTATTTGCAAGTTAACAGTACTTATGGAAACAGCTATCTATGACTTGTAGAGTGGTGGGGTTTTTTTGCATTGGAGGAATTGTTTGTGGGGTTTTTTGTGTGTGGTTTTGTTGGGGTTTTTTACACAAAACAAGGGAAAGAATTGTTGAAATTATAAAAGCAAATTTGTTTAGGAATGATTAGTTGAAATTTAAAATGCAGGAGGCGTATCGAAAAACTTCTGGATGGTAAGATCTGTTAGGCAGTTATGACTATTTCATGACCTAGTCTGGCATGTGGCATGCTTGTATGCTTTGTTTTTCATGTGTAGCAAAGTTTTGTTATGCGGCTTTGAAAGGCAATTTCCTGTGAGGTAAAGGATCTACCATAATTAAAATTTTAAATCTCTAACTCGTTCACTTTTGGAGAGCTTTCTCTAAGGATTTGAGCATAAACCTTTAGTAAGTTCAGTGAAATATCTAGGTGGCTTTCACTATTATGTTTTGAAAGATTGAACATACGGCTTCACATTCACTTCAGTTTCTTCTCGTTTCTGAAGAAGCTTCCTTGCTTTTGGCTAAGAAATATGCATGAGTACTTGGAGAGCAATAAAGAACAAAACAGACAGTGTAGATAGCTAAAAAAAAAGGAAAGGAAAGGAGAGAGAGATACATGTATTGTTTTCTCTTTTGTCACAGAGTCCTTGGCCATATCAGTTTTGTTCTCTGGAGAGTATGTCTTAAAAAGGACCCTGGAAACAGCTGCCGTTAAGTTAATGTAACTGTAGCTAATGCTGGATGCAAGGCTTTGAATTAGGGAGACCGGATGAGTAAAAGCTTTCAGGTCTGGAATCCCTGAGGAAGTGCCACCTCCCTTTGGTTCTCCTGCTGCAGCTGTACTGTTGTCTCCAGCATGGGATGTGGGGAGTGCCAGGTTCTTGCAGTGGCATGACTGGGGAGAAGCTTCTGCTCTAAAAACCTCGCAAATATATCCTTTCCCATAACTGCCTTTGGCTGTCCTTTCTATTTTAGAGCTGGGTCCAGTATCATAGGCACATACTTAACCAGATAAAATAACGTTACTGCAGTTTTTTCTTAAGCCAATTCATTCAAAGAAAAGCCCAGAATGAAGAAAAACTACAAATGAACCGTTGTTCACCATTGCGAACTTGTATTACAGTTCTTAAAATAATTTGTGTTCATGGGGAGGTAATGCTACTTATAACCTCATTTCCTTAAATTCTTTTTAGTGCTAAATAAAAACAAAACCTGAAAACAAAGACTTTGCATCCAAAACAGAGTAATTTATAAAAGTTTGATTCATGCAATATTAACTCCCAATTGCCCCTAAAAAAAGTGGAATCAGGAAACTTCCAGGCTGCCTAAAATACACTTACCTTAAAAAAAACACTTACCTTAAAAGAAAAAACTTTTTTTTTTTTTCAATCTGGGTCTAGTAGTCTAAAAAGTTATAAAATACTGCTCCTCAGTGTTTCTAAAATATGTACATTCTTCATTTATTTGCTGATTGTCTGCAGCATAAAAGTCAGCCTAGAATTCTTGCAAAAAAAGATTGTAAGCCACTCCTCTATTTGCTTTGCTGTAAGAGAAGTAAACCTAAACACTGACTGCTAACAAAACAAAAATTGTAACTATCACTGAAACAAATGAAGATGGCTGATAGTATTTCACAGCAAAGCCCACTATTTTCAGATACAGTTGCAATGTTTTAGTAAGCCTTAAACTTCCATTTAACTATGTTAAAAATAATTGTCTGTGGGTGAAATTGGGTCTAATTGATTTTTCCCTTAATGTATCAGTGAAAATCCTAAAGTTGGGACCAGAATGGATCCTATTGGAGTTAAGTACATAACTCCCAGAAAACATTATCCATTAAACTCTGTGGGAGTTAGTTATCAGATTTCTTTAAAATCTAATATAAAATTTTAGATACATAACCAAACCAAATGCCTTGTTGTAGGAGTTGGTCTTGTTGATAATGGACCAGCATCACCTCTCACCCCCAAAGTTTTTGTTTTTCAGTCTTAGCAGAGTGTCATAACTAGCCATTATTCTCCTGAGTGGTCACAATCAGATCAGGCTGGACATGCATCAAAAGAACACTTTACTTCTGCCTGATGTAACTTTTCCTTTCTCTCATTCAAGCAGAGTATTGAAAACCATCAAGTTTTATGTATTGCTGAGCTATGAGGAAAACAGGAAGCAGAAAAGGAGATTCTTTCCTGTCATGCTACTCTGTAAAGCGAGTCCTATATGGGTAGCTTGTAGTCCTGAAGACGATTGTGCCCACTGAGTTTGAGAGAGAGAAGTTTTTTAGAAGCTGGGGGACATTTGCTGTATTCTTGTTATGCTTTTGTTAGTGTCATGGTTTACCCCCAGCCAGCAACTAAGCACTACGCAGCCACTTGCTCACTCCTCCCCACTCGCAGTGGGGTGGGGAGGAGAATCGGGGTAAAAAAGTAAAACTCATGGTTTGAGATAAGGATGGTTTAATAACTAAAATAAAATATTATAATAATAGTAATAATAGTAATGAAAAGGAATATAGCAAAAAGAGAGAGAAATAGAACCCAAGAAAAGACAACTGATGCACAGTGCAATCGCTCACCACCCGCTGACCGATGCCCAAGCAGTGATCCGCCCCTCCGGGCCAACTCCCCCAGTTTACATACTGAGCATGACATTCTATGGTATGGGATATCCCTTTGGCTAGTTCGGGTCAGCCGTCCCAGCTATGCTCCCTCCCAGCTTCTTGTACACCTGCTTGCTGGCAGAGCATGGGAAACTGAAAAATCCTTAACTTATGATAAGCGCTACCTAGCAACAACTAAAACATCAGTGTGTTATCAACATTATTCTCACACTAAATCCAAAACACACCGTACCAGTTACTAGGAAGAAAATTAACTCTATCCCGGTCGAAACCAGGACAGTTAGTTTCTTCCTTTAAAATATTTTTGTGACAGAATTATTCACATTTATCCCTTGTCTCTGAGGTTGCAACCTGAAAGTGCTCTGATTTTCAAGAATTATTAAGTCTCTCAGGAATTAGTATCAATGCTCGGAAATTAATCTCAATACTTCTCAGAATGAAAACAGATGCTTTGAATTCATGTATTGAAGTTGCATACACTTTGCATGCCCCAGTGGTGGTGTGTTCTGTATCTTATAAACAGAAACACCACTTTGTCTTCCAGATTTTACCTTGTACAGTTGTATGGGTATTAATGTGAGTAGAACTCAGATCATCACGGTTATCACAGAGATGCCTTCTATTAGTCCTGGGGCTGTGACTATATGTTTTGGTAAACTGACTGAAGCAGTATCTTAATATCTTGCAAACTTAAGTATTTAATATGAGAAACCACTCTCTTGTCATAAAAATTAAATGCAGTAGGAAACAGTCAATTTTCTTCTGCCTTGCAGACAATAAAGAGTCTTCCAATTTCCACATAGTATCTCTTGTCACATAGGGTAAGAATGTAAATGAGTCAGCTTTAGTTGCAGGTTTAGTTTTTTTCTTTTCAAGTGAATTTTTCTATTATACAAAAATTTTGAAGTCCTACTGCAAAATATTAAAGGTTTTCTATTAAGATATTCTGGATCTGGTTTTATAGATTTTGTTTGGTGTTTTTTGTTGTGTTGTTGTTTTTTAAAAATTTCATGAGATAGCTAATGTATGCCAACAAACTTTGTGTATCTTAAATACTATAACCATGCTTTGTGTTTGAAAACTTATTCTGTGGTACAAACATAAGAAAAACACCCTGTTTTGCTCATGCTTGGTTTGAATGAAATTAGTTTAGTGTTTTTAAGTACTTAAAAGCTGCAAAACCTAATTCAAAATGCTACATGAATTCCATATGCTTTTACAGCTATACAAAAGGAGTGCAAAAAGATACCTTTCTAATATGGTAATGTTTTACGACCACTTTGCAGGACAACAAAGAAAAAAGTTACAAAAAGCAGCTCAGAATTGTGCAGTTCAGCTGTGTTCATGAGTATGCAACTCCCATTGTTGACAAATGAGAGTTGCTTGACTTGACTGCAGGCAGTATGAGGTCAAGAAATATTACTAAAATGCTTTCTTTCCTAACTGTTTATTTCTGCTTTTTTTTATATATCCTTGTTGTGACGTGACAGAGCATTTGAGGTCAACTGCCAAGCTCTCAGTGGAGATGGAGTAAAGCACCTTTATCTAAGCCTTCACTAACACAGTACTCAGCCGTGACTCAGAGAGGGTAAGTTAACTGATTATACTTAGCTTTCTCTGCTATGGTAAAATGAGTTGCAGAGAGAACGCACTGAAAGCCAAGGGCCTCTAAATACTTTTCCCTTTTATGGAATAGAGCTCCCAGATCACCATTTCCTGGAGATTGTACTCTAAGTCTACACAGTGGTAAAAGAAAGCTCTCTGCATTCACTGATCTATATCTGACTACAAATTTGAGCTCAGGGGATCATTTTTTTCCTAACTATTTTAAGCAGTAAGTTTACAGTAACAGACCAAAATGTTAAAAAGCACTCCATCCTCTCTTCTTTCTTGTTCTTACTTTTTTTCTTTACATTGTCTCTTCTTAGTGTGGGAATAAGCAGAATCTGGTGAATAGGATAGGTAATTTGTGGGGTTTTTTAAACTCATTTTGTAGGTGCAAAAGGCTCATGCAGACTGATTGTGGATCTTCTCCCACATCCACTCCGCTTGTGACATATGTGTTAATCTCTACAAGTATTTAATTTTAAAAGGTAATTTTGAAGCTCTTGCAATTTCTAAAAGACTGGAATCTTGGGGGGGTCATTTACTCTACACTACAATAATCTCATGACATCCTTTGGTAGGATAGAGGTAGGCCAGACAGAGTTTGATCAATGCCTAACAAAAGAAATAATGGAATCTTGAAATTGTCTTAGTGAATAGGGTGCTAACATGTGCTTATGCACCTTGACTGTTTTTAAAGTGCAGATGTATTTTTTATCTATCCTTTCAATATCTTCAGGGACAATAATTACAGTTGTTTCAGTTAGTATCTCACTGTATTGCATGTATTGTTAACATATCGTTTCCTTCTTTGGCTGAAACATGTTTATGCTTGTGGAAAGAAGATAAAGCTGGCAAAGCTAATGGCAGCATGATTCCAAAGGCTGTTGAGCTGGCAGATGAGCCAGGCTTAAAAGCAGGATAGTCATGCTCCCTGCACTTTGGCTCAGGGTTCAGTGAGACTATAAGCTGTTTTTGTAGATTGGGGTGCGAATTTTTGTAGGTTCCAAAGCTGTACTCCTCCCTAATGCTCTGCTGAAGAACAAAAAATGTACCTTCCAGGGAAATAAATTTTCCAAGGACGTTTCTTTCTTTTCTTCCTACATTTGAGATGCAGATAAGCTCCTCTAATTATTGTTAGAGTGTTCTCATGAAGTCCCCTTTTTCTATATGTTTTGACTCTCACTGACATTTACTGGGGGTATTTTCATTGCCCAGTCAAATAGGTATAAGGTCACTTCAGCAGTGATGGAAGAAGAACATTTATTCAATAGTATCTTAAGGTTCCATCATTTCTAAACCTTTACCTTTCCTACTATTTCAGGAGGCTGAACTCCTTGCATAGCATGGAGCAAGAAGATGGCTCCTTTGGTTATATCCATTTGCATTTATAAGATGTGGTATTTGTGCTGGTTAAGCATGATAAAGTCTTTAAAGGATCTGGACTACTGATTTTAAGAACACTGCACAGGTTAAAAATAGGCTTTTAGATTGAAAAAATAATCATTCAGGAGTTCTAAATCATATAGCTTATTAATTGAACTATGTCCCTATATATTTTGTTGAAATACCAGTAAGTAGTAGCCCTTACTTCAGTACCTTAGAGAACTACAGCAGAGCTGTCAAGGTGTGCAAAGACTGCATTTGTTTTACAAGCCTCAGAATATGAATAATTAATTGCAAGCTTTCACAGCTCCAACACAGTTCTCAGCACTGGGGCTTTCTGGAGAGCTGTTAGGAAAAAATGGAAAGTCAGAAGAAGAAATTTTCCTACTGATCAGCACCACAAAGATTTGGAGCTTTTTCCTATTTGCAAGATAACTCTGTAAGGAAGTCAGAGTAAGGTTCTAATTGTGTCAGAGATGGACTGAACTCAGTCCACTCCAAATCTGGGGGTTGTTAAGGTAGCGTAAATTCATCATTCTACCCTCCGTTCTCCCTTGGCTGTACTTTCTGTGCTGCATCTCTAAGACAACACAGCTCGGGATTTGTCCCTTTCTATTCTTAGACAAGCCTGCTGATTTTTTTTTCTTTTAAAGTTTTTTTGCTTTTTAAATCTGAAAAATGAACTGAAACTTGATGTGCTTAATAGCTCTTTCTTGTTTCAATATGACTTGCATTACTTTTTTAAGTTTAGTATGTACTAGGAACTCAGCTAAGACCGCAAATAAACCACTTTGATACAATAGCTTATACAACTCCATGTAGGACTGCAAATACACTTTGGTCATGACTTGAAATGTTCCTGATTTTTCAGGCCCAGCATTCTGTTGAGTTGAGCCTATCAGAACCATTGTAAATTCTTAAAACAAAAACTAAGAGGGATTAGATAAAGTCAAATTTATATCTTCTCTTTTTTCTTTTTGTTTGAATTTGAGTTCTTGCAAACTCAGAAGTTGTGTAGGATGCCAGGATTTCATTACAGAGATGAAAAGCAAGTCCATGTCACTTTTTTGTAGTTACCTTGCTTCTATCTCATCTTCATGTGTTGTTAAGTTGGTGACTGTTGTTGGATACAAAAATACTTAACTGTTGAAACACACAGATATTTAATGCTACTGCTGTCTGCCTAATCTCTGTGGGTTTATCAAAATATATGTAATCATAAATGTCTGTTTTCCATCATGTTAGGGATTTTCAAGATATTTTGCCTTAATAAACATTTTAAAATCTTCTTTTTATTCATAGAGAGCTTCCTCTACTCTTATTTGAAGTCAGAGGTGGGTAAAATCATGATACAAACATGAGCTTCCACTTACTGCAGGAGAGCTAGAAATTCACCTGTAACAGGTTCAAAATGTCTACAAAAAGCTTGAAACACACTGTTCCTACAGCATATAATGCTCTGAAAAAAATGTATGCTGACTGTTCAAAAAAAGTCTTTATCTTGGTCTTCATAATGATGTCATATATGCTGCATCTTTTCTACAGAACTTTTCAAAGAACTTCTGTGAAATAATTATTTTTTCTGAACACACTAATACTTATGTAAAGATCATTTTTACAATGTATTCGTTCTGCATTAAATTTATGTGAGATGGCTTTGTATTCCTCTAGTAAAAGACAAAATTAAGTTTCCAATATAATGTGAAATAAATCTAATAAAAAGTATGGGTCTTAGCTGCTTCTGTAGTCCAAAGTTTTCACACATTCGGTAGGTTTTACAACACAGAATTTTTCCTGTGAAAGCTGAGGTGAGGAACTTGTCACTGCTGAGGCTGCTTCAGTATTTCCTGTGAATGGTTTAGCCTTTTTTTTTTTTTTTTTTTTTTCAAATCAACACAAGTATTTTGACAATTTTAACTGTAAGCCTCCATAAACCAACATGTTCCTAAATATGTTTCTTGGCCCTTCCCTGAAATGGAAGGGAAAACTGTAGAAGGTTAATCTTACAATGCTGCTAAGTGCCTTGAACTTCAAATCATCTGCCCATCTCAACCCCTTTGTTCCATGTATCTTGATTTCCAGAAGAGTAAAAGAATTGAGATGAGATTAGTAATTCAGGTTTGGGAGAAGATAACATGTTTTGGAGGTTGAACCTATGTTTGTTGGGTATATTTATCTGTTTGGCACACTACTGAAGTTGTTATATTACTGTTGGAGTGTGTAGCTCCATTCTGGACACAGGTGTGACTTAACTGTAAAGGGAATATAGTTAGCTCTTACTAGTCCAGAGAGAAACTGTGTGCCAGATTTTCTCTGATAACTGCATTGTCTGTCATCTGTAGGCACCACCAAGGAGTTGAATGATTTATTTATGAGGACTGTTCCTTAACTATCCGGTAGGTGTCATAGTAAGTCTTGTAATACATACACTGTAGCTATAAGGATTAGTACATAACATTTGTCATCTTCAGACTAATGCTAATAATACCCTTGTGAAAGCAGTAGCTCCCGTTGATACTAATAACAGGAATTTTCTCACCTAATAGGTGGTGATTTTTTTTATTATTTTTTTTTTCCGTTTGGCATTACTGCTATTTTGCTTTGGAAGTGTCTTGCACAGTGTTGTCTTGTGCAGATGTACACCAAGTCTTTGTGCAATGCGCTTAGGGCTTGCTGTTGCTCAAAGGAAGAGTGCCACCATCTGGGTTTACAGTTTTACTCCTTTCTTTGAGATCTGAGATCACACTCTGTAGCATTAGGACTTTGTTACTAAAAGGCATATTACAGATATCCAGGATGCTGTTTCCTTCGTAGAGGATTTTTAGAGACAGTAGTTTGGTCACAGCCAAAACAGTCATAGTAATGAAAAAAAATTGCTAAAACAGAGGGAAGAGATGGAAATAGCAGCAAGAATAGAAGGATGTCCATATTTAATGCATTTACTAAGTTATACTTGACCTTGAAAGCTTAAGTTAATAAAACACAAGATAGCATTTTTAATTTTAAACCTTAATACTGTTTGTTATTGTAAAGTGTTAGAGCATAGAGTTTTAAATGGATTTGATTTGTATTTTTGGCATCTAACACAGCCTGCAGATCACAAGGCCTCTCAGCGCTTATGCCTTCAGGCTAACTTGAAACAGATATTCTCAGCAGTGCATGGTCCTGTTAGCCCACATTGCAGTTCCACGTGCTTCACACTGTCCACCATGCCAACCTTACCCGAAGACAAGGGACAATCAAAAGAGGCACAACACAACAGTTCTCCTCCAGCCAAAGTAAGCACTCTTACAAAGGTGTTCTCTGACACTTGTTGGAAACCTGAGGCAGAAACCTGTTTGTGTATATTTAGGAGTTTATAAAATAAAATAAAATCATTGCTATGTATTAGTGTGTTTTGATTAATTGATGAAGTCATGAATGATCTTTCAGTTGACGTTCTTAGAATTCTTCAAATATTTTATAGACTAAGGAATGAGAACTGAAGTTGCTCATGCACTTGTTTGTCAATTTGATCTGGAGGCTTATATGTCTGTCTGTTCGAAAACATTTATATCAAAGCTGTCCAAAAATGTCCTTTGTGATGTTATTACAGAAAACTTTAACCTCTGAGAAAAGAACTTAGGCTTGTACTTCACGGTAGTCTTGAAACATCTAGTGTTGCCATTACAGATACAGAAGGTGCTATGCTATTCAAGTATGTGTGAAACATGGAAATCTGCTTTTTGGTTTGTAGTCTTTCTCAGTGCTTTATTTGCCACAGCAGTAGCTGAACATATACTGGAACTGTACAGAGGGCGGGTGGGTGCTCCCCAGACATATTCATCATTTTGCTACTCAAATTTGTGGCATCTACATGTTTTTACATGTTTTATTTGCAGATAAATTAAAAAAAAATCAATGAAAGATGATACTTCTCCCTTTTGAATATTTTATACCACTGATAAAAAGTAATTTTATGTTCTAATAAAGTGGGGGTTTTTTTGAATTGTTAGCTTAGCTGGCGTAAAGAACCTTACTGTGATTATAAAATCACAGGTTATCCAGATCATCCTGTTTTATGCAAACTGGTGTAAAGAAAGAGAGGTTTTATAATCTGGCACATCCTCAGTTAAAAATGTATCCCTGTCATTGGATTTGAGGACACTGTATTCTACGCTTTAGGTGAAAACATCCGCTACTTTAACGTTGTTGGAAAATATTGTCAGCAGTGAGCCCAACACTGATATGTCATGCATTCCATCTAAATTGCACATTGTGCTGCCTGTTAGTTTCCTGACTTAAGACAAACACCCCAGATGGATGCAAGTTCATCAGACTATTAGCTAAGAACATATATTAGGTCAAGAAGATTTTTATTTATTTATTTTATTTTTAACTCACCTATGTGAAGAGTATTTTATTCCAAAAGACTTGCTGGGTAAAACATACTCAAAGAGAAAAAAATCTGAAAAGCTACAAGACCAGACATCAGTGAATCTAATCCTTGCATGCTTGTCAAATGGGAGAAATGAAGAATTACAACCACCTAATCTAAAAAAATTATTAAAAATAATTTTTTATACATTATACAGGCCTTTTAAAGGTAGGTCTTAAATGAACTATGATAATGTGATAGTTGGTAAACCAGTTAACTGTGCAAAATGCTTCGGTTTAGATAAATTGTTATTTTTAGGCACAAAGTAACAGTGGAAGGTTTTTAACCAACACACTGCTCATGAGCCTACTTAAGTTAAAGATTGCAGCTAACCAGTGTTGTGAGAATTTGATCTTGTTCATACCTGTTATCATTCTTGGGTCTTGCTGCAGTCCAAGTTCTACAGCATGACTATGTAATAAGTAAAATAGTTTATCATTATGCGATAAGGACTTGCAAGCAGGGAGAGGGCATCAGAAGGAACTAACAACTTGTGGACTTGTTTTCCGCCATTGAACAAAACTTTCCAAGTCTGAAATCTCATCTTATCTAAAGTGCTGTCTGGTGTCTAACAACTTCCTCAATCTGTTTCAGGAGATGCTTCCCCACCTTTTCCCTGCATGCACAAATGCACACACATTCACAAAACAGTTCTGAGAAAAAGAAAATGAACCTTACACCACATGTAGTTTCTTGCTTACTTCAGGTATCTTTTACATGATGGGAAGACCTGGGTTATATTTCTCAAATTAATTTTGAGAAAACAAATATGGTTTCCCATTTCAGTATTTCTTAAAGCAGCCTATGTTCACCATTCTGACTAACTCTAAACAACATTCATCAAAGTACGCATTAGCTCTGTGTTCCTCAGGAAAGTGGATGTGAAATTCCCATTAACACAGGTGTGAGGCCAGTTAGCCTAATTCAAAGAACTTTAGGCCCTTGTTTGAAATGTTGTCTGAATTAAGAGTATGTAGTTGAACTCTTAGTTTGTGTGCTGTCTTGTTACAGTAGGTATTGAACATTTTAGAAGTGTTTTATACAGAATCATTTCTCCCACCATAAATTATAGAACTTCATAATCAGATGTCATTTTTAGTACTTTCCATATTTTAATGTCTTTAGATTTATTTCACATAGAATAGTATACTATTACAATATGCTTTCACTGATACTCTTAAAAACTGATTTCAGGTGTTTAGTATTAAAAATGTAATTTCTATACATGTAATGCATACCTGCAGCAAAGAAAATTAGATCCTTACCAGTTATGTTATAGTGGCCTATAAACCTCCCTACACTTTCAGGGTTGGTTGTGAGCTGCCATCTTTCCCTCTTTTTAAATAAAAAATCCCTATTTCTATTTCCAGCTTTCTCCTCTCTTTCTATCCTGAATTTACTGGCTCTTCTGATTGCTGAGGAAAAGTCTGCCTCAGATGTTCATAATGTTTCTCGTACACTGATTATTCCATCATTGAAGCTTCTGCATTTCTTTTTTTATTATTATTCCTATTTAAATTTGTATTGTACTTTTATCAAATTGCTGCATGTCATCTTTTTGTTCTGAAGGAGATGTCCCACATTTACTTTGTTGTCCTGTCTGTTTCAACTAGATGCAGTTACAATTGAATTTCATTACTTTACTTGCTAAACTCTAAGCTCAGCACTTCACTTAAACATTTAAAATTAAGGTTATTTAAAACCCCATCTTACTCAAAAGACTGCTGTCTGAGATGCATAACTTTTCTGAGGCCTTTCACATAAGTGTCTGTTTCAGGCCAAATTTGTTCTGAAATTCAGTCCAGACCTTTAATTAATTTCTAAGAATACGACCAGGTGGCAGAGGATTGGGGTTTTTTTTTCCCCCCAAAGAATTCAGGTGGTATATAGTAAAGCTTTATCATCTGACTATCCTGGCAGGGTAGCTCTTTTAGCAGAGGGGGGGTTTTGTGGGGTTTGGGGGTTTTTTTCCCCATTACTGTTCAAATCTATCCAAATTTGGCTGGATTATAAAACTTCTAAAAATGCTTTTACTGTATGCTTACTGAGGGCTTGGTAGAGCTTAACAGCCAGAATGTCTGGAGATCCTATCTACCCTGAGTATCCCTGAGCCTCTTAGATCTTCTGTTATGGACCAAACTGCATGTGCCATTTCTCAGACCTGCGCAAGTCTCCCTGCGAGACTAGATGGCACATGGTGTCATCCTTGTAGAACATCTGGATCAGTTCCCACCTGAGCCATAGAAGTGGAGTCAGTTCTACCCTACATTTTTATGGGAGGAGGCCTTGGGACAAAAAGGAAGCAAAGACTTGGTAGCAGACCGTCACTGGTACTAGGAGATAAGGCGGCTGTTGGGAATAGCTGAAGAGCAGACTTGAGTGGAAGCTAACAGAGAGACCAGTTACAGGCAGGCAATGGGATGGTGGTGGAAATCTTATGTATCATCTTGTGCAGATGTGCAACTGTGAGACGGCTTAAGCTTCCCGTTAAACCTTCTGTTCCGAGGTCTGCATATAGCAGCCTGAGTACTCTTCATAGTACAAAGATTTCTTTTGATTCAAGCCAGCTGGCCCTGAAAAGAGCTTCATGCTCTACCTCTTCCTGCCCCTATCCTATACAGATGTGCAATAGGTTTGGACAATAGAGGCATGAGTTTTCACCTGTGTAGAAGTTGAGCTACATAGCTGCTGACCAAGATTAATGTATTCTACCTGACCTGAACCAGACTTGGGTACAGCCTTTTTCTTTTTCTTCTCTTTTCTTCTTTTTTCAATGAGCTGTTTTTAGAGTCCTAAAATGGACTTGAATGACTCCAAGGCTGATGTTACATCATTCAAAAGCTTTTGCTCTTTGGCAGTCATGAGATTAGTACAAACAATGTACATGTGTACTCAGCTGCTTTGCCCTACAAGCAGGGCAGTCACCTGAATTTTTGTCATTGACTGTTAGACAAAATACATTGTTACTTAGTAACATTTTCAAGAATACTACTAAAACTTGCTTTCAGACTGTTATCATACAATGTCATTTGTGCACTTGAATTACATAATATATCATGCTTTTATATTCTGACATTTCCAATATTACAAGGATATTTTTCTTAAACTTAAATCTTTGTATTATTTTCTTGGCATGTTTCCCATCCTGCTTTCCTGTGACTGACAATGTAAACTTGCCGAGGAGCGTCATATGAGAATTATGACTATAAAAGTGTGGAGCTGCGAGGAATGTATTTATTTTAGTAAAAAAAAAAAAAAAAAAAGCTGTTTACAACAGAATCAAGAATCCTAAACTAGATGTCCAACCCAAAGCATATTTTATTGCCTTTGGGAGGAAGAAGGGTTATGCTATATATTTTAATATTATACCGTTTTGTTTGAATTGATCAGAAAATACCTCATTTCAACAAGAATAAAATGCAGCACTGAGAGAGGTGTTGAAAGGAGTTCTATTGTATCTGATAGATATTAGCAGTCATGTGACTGTTAGCTTTCTGGATGTATGGAATTCCATTTCAATTTATACTCTTGGCTACTTGTTTATTGTAACAAACCTTATGACTATGCTAATTTCTCCACATGACAGTAGATGACTGAAATAATTATTCATTGATGGCATTTATTTCAAATAATTGAAATTATTTAATTTTCTCTGTTCTAAAATGTTGACTTGTTAAACTGTGAGCTATTACATGCATCATTCTGTAAATGCCTGAATTAGTGCTTTTATAACAACTTTTTATTACCTGCCTGTTTAATGAATATTACCAAAATAAATGTTATTCTGAATTCATTACACTTGTGTCAACCTCTAGTAGGGAAACATTCTTAAAAGGAGCAAGCAAAACTGACAGCAAATGCTATTTCAATAAAAGCAAAATGATGTTTATAACAGTTGAATGTAATTGGCTTTGTGCAATGGATAGCAAGCATGCTCTTTTAGAAAATTCAGAAGCATTGCTTCCTTGAGAGGTGGTCGATGCCCCAGGCCTGTCAGTGTTTAAGAGGCATTTGAACAATGCCCTTAATAACATGCTTTAACTTTTGGTCAGCCCCGAAGTGGTCAGGCAGTTGGACTAGATGGTCATTGTAGGTCCCTTTCAACTGAAAATATTCCATTCTATTCTATTCTATTTTCTAATCCAATGCCAACTGAAGTAAAATTTTCTTAAGAAACTTTGGGATATAGTTTCAAGAAAAAATTAGACTCCAAATAACTAAATAGATTAAAATACTTGTACATACCAGTGCCTAGCAGAAGCAATTAGGATTTGAGAATTTACAAATTATTCTTTCAGTTTTACAAGTTGATTGATGGCAGTCCCCTGCTGCTTTTGGGAAGCTTTCCCTCCAGCTATAAATACTTACGCTGCTATGATATGTTCTACTTACCTCATGACTGTACTCTAAAAGAAAAATTGCAACTTCTAACAGGTGCCTACACTTTCCCCCCTTTGCATGATTTTGTGTGAATCACTTTCTTCAACTTCTTGACTGACTGTAAACACCAGATTGCTTATGTAGCCTTTCAACAGTACAGGGGTTGATTTTTATTTTTTTTTCGTGTGTGTGTGTGAATTTGAATGTAGTACATGGGGTAGAAGTAATAATTTTTTTACTACGTATGAGAAATGCACAGTTCTTTATTCCAACTTGCTGCATCTCCATTTGTGATATCTCACAGGAAACAGATTTCTTCTCTTGCTGATTGGCATCATTGTGGTAGAAGGTCTGGGGTTAAGTTCTTGCAACAAGTTCTCATATTTTTTAAGAAGGCAAGCATACATTGATATTCAGTGCCAGCTTCTTTTGTCAATTAACTATATTGTATTTTATTAAATACTGAAGTTTTATATTTTAAAAAATATTTTTCCAATTCATGGGAGGGAAAACTAAGTAGAACACTAACAAGTTAACCTTACAATTATTTTCTGTTTTTTTTGGATTGCATGTGTACTCTTAATACTGCATTTATTCAAGCTTTCATTGCACACTAGTACAGTTTGGAGGGTTTGTGTGCCTAATTTAGCCCTGTTATACATAGCTGCTTTTTGCTCTTGCATTCAGCTCCTAAGTTCACTAAGTGTTGTATGTGTACTTCAGTAGAGGAATGGTTTGCTGTGTAAAAAATCAGTTTGTCTACCATTTTAAAGCTTGCTTATTAGTTCCATTCTTACTGAATTTAGCTTGTGTGCATTAAAAATTTGTAAAGAAAAGGGATATTCCAGGTCTCCATCTTCACTTTTTAGCAATTTAAGTATAGGCCTCTAATTCACATTTGTTTTATCAAGTGAGAGCTAATTCTCACTTAGTTCAGTCATTTTCTGTTTTACCAAAATTGAGCAATACACATTAATTTCCACATAGAGCATCAATATTCAGTGTTTTGAATTTCTGTTTAACTACATTTTTCTATTTGTCACAAACCATTCAGGACACTACTGTTGAAGGGACAACATGCAGTACACCTTCTGTTGTTCTTCCAGAGAATGCTGTTACGCCAGATGTAGAAATTGATAAAAATCTGCTTAACAGGTACTATATAATACATTACCAATCTGTGCATAAATTGTACAGTAATTCCAGGACCTGTGTTTCTAAAATATTGCTTTCAAATTTATATTGTATTAAAGTATTGTTGCTGTATCTCTAGTTGTAAATCGATCCTGTTGTCTTTGCATTTTGATGATGATTTTTTGGATGGGGGGTTTGGCACGGACAGGAATATAGTTGATACTGAAAGAGTAGAGGTTCATATAATACTAAGCCTGCCAACATGACTCAGTATATTGTAAATTTACATGAACTTTCTTATATTTCAGAATAGCATAATTTGAAACTAAAACAAAAATGTAAATCAAAGCTTTGCATAATTTGGACTAAAAGCTGTAACTTTTAAGTCCATCCTTTTGCTAGCAAATAAAATGTGGCCTGGTGAGGAAAAAATTGCTTGGTCAAATCCTCTTGTAGACATATAGTGGTGTGCATGTGTATGCTACAATCCTACACCTACTGCAAGGATGAGTGACAGTTGGATTCCTCATGTTCTGTGCATGGCAATGTGCAATACCGTCCATCTGTCCAAATTTTAACCTTTACTTAGACCCAGTCAAAGAACAACTGAGATCAATAAAAAGTACAATTGAGCATTTTTGTGTTTCCTGAATTATTACACACACACACACGGAAATTTTTCAGTTCAGTAGCTAAATACCTAATTCTGGTCTACTAATTATATATGTACACCAGTAGTGCTGCCTTTAATCATATAAATATTTCCACTGAACCAATAAGAGCTTTGTAGACTGATGTAGAGTTAGGAAGTTAATCCTTGTAAGACTTTAAAAAATTACTTTTTTTTAAATACTAAAGATGTAAGTTTCTGAAGGTATGGTCAGCCATCAGTGTTGACTCTTGCAAATGGGTGTATCTTATGTACAAAGCCTGTGTTGTCTGTTCCCTTCTTGAATTAAAGAACTAGCTATATTACCATCTTATAACAATATTCTTAGTACTGTGCTGAAAAATAGACATTGTAGCAATAATATTTGCAACCTGTTCTAATTGGTTTGTCTATTGAAAGGAAATGCAGCAACAAACTATGTTGTTCTTAAAAACAATCTGTTTGCATGATCCTTAAATTACTGAAGTGTGTTTTAACAAAGAAGGAAGGTTTTTGGCAAAAGGTGGACTTGCAATGTATGACAGTTTGTATAATAAGGCTTATTTGTGAGGGCAGAAAATTTCCAAGGAAGGCTTGTGATCATAAAAATGCTTTGCATTTTTTAACTAATAGCTTTTGCAAGGATTTTATTTACTTTTTATACTTAGCATTTTATAGTTTTTGAACAGCTGAAAATGTTCCTTATCTTCTTTTGACAGGTTTAGCATATTACATATATCTTTCAGAATAAATGTACCCTCCAGTCTTGTGCATATTATCTTGGTATTGACTTAAAACACATACTGTGTTATATAACTTAAGGTGATGTTGGTGAAGCTACTGTTACTGTATATTGTTTCTTTCCTTACAAATATTGTTGGTTGTCTGGCATTGCTGACTAACTTTGTTTCATGAGATAATATTCTAAGATATTAGAATAGCATGATATTATTAGCCAGCATCTTTAAAATTTTCTCTAAAGCCAATTAAGATATGCTCAGTTCTTCTAAAGTCCAGAGTTGAAAGCATTGGAAATTGTGTTACTGGACTTTTTTGCTACCTAAAAAAACAGATGCAACAAATGTAGGCTTCTTTCCCAACTCTCTTCTTTCACTTCCTCCCTTGTATCTGTTAAGTCCTCCTTACTGTTTCAGTGAAGCTGCAAAAGAACTTCCCTAGCACCTGAAAACTGGGATAGGACCACATTCCTGATCGTGTGAAATAAAATAGGTATCAGTTGAAAATTCAAGTAGATAATGTTTCTAAGCTAGATGGTTGGACAAATTAAATGTCTAGCTTGAATACTATAGTACAGTGAGTTTTGAAGCAGATGTTTAGGCCCATTCAGGTAGACAGGGCAAGAATACCACCTTGACGTTAAGCATATGTGAAAGTAAACTGTTGAATGGAAATAATAATCCTGTTTGAAGTTGAAAACTTCAATTCAGTTTTGAGTTGAATTAATTTTCAGTCTTCTGATAAAGCATACTTTTTGACCTGTTTTTTTTAATTTATTGACCTGCCATTAGACTTAAAACATGGGAAAAGATAATCAGAAAGTATTGATCATAAATCTATACTATAATTTGCTTGTGTTTTTATAGTGTACTTCCCCAAACTTCAAGATTATTTAAGAGTCAGAATGCAGCCCCTTAAAAGTAGCATTATTTGCTGGGTCAGCATTTAATTTTCTGTAGTCATTTGAGACTTTCATCTGGTTTTCAATCTAGAAGGTTCCCATATTGCTATATGGGAGCATCAGTGTGGGAGCCTAAGAAATTATTTCAGTCATAAAACTTAGTTTATGAAGTTTTAGGAAGCACTAACAATTTACAAAGACAATTTTTTTTTTTTTTTTTGCAATGTACCATATTTGCATGAGTTTTAAGTCATGATAATGAACTAAAGAAATGTAGTTTTTCTGAGAAATCAAAAGTTCACAGTGTATGAGGTTATCAGCAAATGTCAGAACTCCTTTGTGAGAGCAATTTCTGTAATTTTCCTTCTTTCTGCAATCTTCCTCCATTTTCCAGTTGTTTGGAGATGAGAGAAATTGGAATAAAACCTTTTTGTTTTCATTTTTTTAATCAAAGAAAAAGTGCTTTCTTTTTAACATTAAATTTTTATAGAGAATTAGAACTTTTTTTTGGTGGCATACTCCCATAATTTTTGCTTGTTCATTTTTCTCTCTAGGCCTCGTAGTCCTCATAGGAGACATTCTAACCGTGCCACTAGGAATCCAACAAGTTCATTGACTTCTGTTGGTAAGAAGTGATTATTCATATAAGTTAGGAGTGTTCTCAGAAAATGTGACATACAATAAAGACCTGAATATAGAGTCTGGCTGTATAGACTACAGCTTCTTTCCTGTGCATACTGTCTGTAATGCATGCACAGGGAATACTGCTAGCATGTTGAATTGTGATCATGCATTTACGATCATAAGTGGATCGCATGCAGACAGATCCAGGGAAATATGCCTGTTAGTTTTGTAAAGTTGTTAGATTAGTGTGTTAGCTTAACATTTTTAGAAGGCTGGAGATACACATGCTTAAAATTCTTGTTGTATGCAAAATACTGCTCAGTAACACTGGTTTTGTTACTTTTTAGCAAGGAGTTTAACAGACACTTAAGTCTCAAGTTATTTAGTTTGGCAAATATATCAGATTAAACTTCAAATGAAAACAAGCTATCCAGGGGAAGATTTTCTTCATTTCTTAACTTTCTAATGAGTCTCTTACTACATAATTAGTTATATTAGTTTTCTGGTAGCTACCTGTGGAGTAAATTGTTTTTCAAGGGGACTAATGGTGTGGATGCAGATTTATGAGTACTACAGACTGAGATAAAAGGTCATCCTGTTAAGTCAGTGGCAAAGCTCCCATCAGTTCTTAGTCTTGGTATGTTTGCATTTGGATTGTTAGTTGTCTCCATTTATGTATTTCTTGTAAAGTAAAACTTGAACAGAGTTGATGATAGAATGTTTATACTATCACACGTAAAGGATGAAGGAATAAGCATATGAGACCTCCTACCAAAATCAGGGTGGGGAGTGGGTGGGTGTACATTTCTACATCAGAAATGTAGAATAAATGTTTTAAATTATTTTTATCTTTACAACAATGTTACTTTCTCCCAGCCATCAACTTAATGTGAGCCAATTATCACTGCTTTATGCTGTGCATGAAAACAGTTTTCTGTAAAATCATGGAGATGTGTGATCATTGCATACCTTAAAAAAAAAAAAATACTGGTTTTGTGACAGACTTAAACCCAAGCTTATCAGGTGACTATTCCAATACTCCCAGAGGCTTTTAAAGGGAAGCGCCCTTTCTACTATTACTAAGGAACCTAGTTCTTAGGCGTCTTGAAACAGATGCATCTGTTCCTTTTTTTCTTTACTAAAGAACCAGCAAACATCAGAGCCCTGCTACCTCTCTGATACTCAAAATACTCAGAAGAAAAATTAAGTTTTATCAACCTAGATTGCTTTTAGTAATTGAGATTCTATTAAGGACTCTGATTAATAAGTCCTCTTTGTGTGATTTTTTTAAGAAACTCAGATATGTGGAGTTGTTCTTGAGCAATATATTGAACATAGGCATGGGGGTTCATGGAGCATTTCTGAATTTTCCAATAGCGAAGGGATTCCTGGCAGTCGTAGCAAATATTTCTTATAAGAAGCACTGATCTTCTGATGACGGCAGATTGTGCATCCCTAGGGTTGAAAAATGGCTACAGCTAAGAATACTTTCCCGAAATTATAGTTATGTTTCTACTTTCTCTTGTATAGGAAGTATTGCATGAAGAAAAAAATTAATTGGTACCTCTGAAAGTAACCCAAACTCTCTCTGCTATTAACAGTGTATATACCTTATTTTTTTTTCTTTCTGGTGGTCAAAACAGAGAGGCCAGAACCCTTTCAGGCAGAATCTAATGTATTATTACACATTTCATTTCCCTTTTTGTGGATTTATGAGGGTTAGTTTGCTGGAATTAATTTGGTATTTGTGACATGACAAAAATATCATAATAATTTTATACATCTGGGATCCTGGGCTAGTTTCACACAAATAGAGAATTGGAGATTTTAAAATATAGTAAAACATCCTTAACATTGCCTTTTTCTTAATAAGATAATAAAATATTTTATGTAAGTAGTATTTCCACTGTTGTAGTAGAGTTAGCTTTTCAGCCGTGCAGAGATAAGGTACTAACTATTCATATCAGTAACAGTCAGAATTAATCCTTACTAGTTTGTGATTCTGATGCTTTTATAACTGGGTACTCAGTTGCATCAGTATGCCTGTAAAAATGTAGTTGAGAGAAAGCCCACTGAAAGATTGTTAGGAGGCTTCGAAGAGTTGTGACTTCTCATGCATTTGCTCCAGTTTTGTGATTGATCCTTTAAATTTGTGAGTAAGATGTGGGTTTTGGCTGCTTGCATTGAAAGGGAAACTTCCTTTATATGTCCTGTAAAACTAAGATGGAGATAAGATCCATGTAAATCAGCTCAGATACACTGAAGGGAACTTGGAACACTTAAAATCTACCCTGCTTGCCAGCAGTTGATTTCAGAGGTAACTAAACTTGTGGAAACTAAATAAATTTATGGAACTGTACTGACAGAAATCAGACTTATACAAAAGAATGATTATCCCTCCATTATCCCTCCATATTCAGAGATGCAGCAGCAAGAGCTGCCTCCCCCCCCCCCCCCCCCCCTCTTACACAAACAAA